GGTGTTTGCATCTCCTTCCAGGTGTCCTTTCCTGCCACTATGATAATTTGCTTTTTCAGAGGCATTAGTGGCTCAAGAGAGTACCTCAAGGTCTTTTTGCTTCGCATTCAGGCCTTCCCCTAATAGGTGTCTATGTCACAGCTAAATAGCCACCAGTAGCAACCATAGCTATGGGCAGATGGATGATAGGATGGGATGGCATGGCATGACATGGCATGGCATGGCATGGCATGGCATGGCATGGCATGGCATGGCATGGCATGGCATGGCATGGCATGGCATGGCATGGCATGGCATGGCATGGCATGGCATGGCATGGCATGGCATGGCATGGGGCACACACAGCTTCATGAAAACAGAAAGCCACCCACCTTATGACCACTTCATGGAGGAGGAAACAGGAAGGATGTGCTCCAAGTTCTTGGTCAGGACACTAATCACAGACTGTATCTGCAACATGACAGCAGGGAAGAGGCAGGGAAACAACAAGCCAGAAAAACCAGAGCTTTGGACATGTTCCCTGGAGGCACCCAAAAATTTAATCAGCGGAAGAGCACTCATCTCATCAATCAGCAAGGCTTCTCCAAGAACCATGGACAATTCCCAGACACCAACTTGGACCACGCTGGCTGTGACATCCCTGTGAGTCACTGCCCCAGGGTCTACCTGGTGGGATGAGTTGGCTGCTGGTCACACTAGACAGCACAAGTTGCTTACTGGCATTGTCAGGGTTACCACCCATCCTCCCCAGCTGCCATGGTGTTTGTGGTGACAACAGAGACAGCTCAAGGCTTCTCCTTCCTGCAGGCAAGAGGTAATTGAGTGTCTGCAGAGGAGCAGGCTCTGGGGAGGAGGAGGGCTGGGCTAGAGGTATGGGAGAGAAAGCATGGAATTTTGGAGACCTCTGCTTATTCATGCCCTGAGTTGGATCAGACAACACCCTGTATGCCCTTAGATGTGTCCATCAGCTCTTTGGGGGTGAGGCACAGAGATGGGCCATGCCAGATGATACATGCCAGGTGACTGTCATGAAGTACAGTGAGGCATCTGTTACTCATCCCATTCCTGCTGAGATGACTCAGTTCATACCTCAGGAGCCTGAACAGGAAGACTCATGTGGTATCCAGAGTCCTGCAAAACCCAGCCCAGTCCCTTCAGCCCATTTCCATAAAAAACATCCCCATGGACAGGGTTTCTGTGTGGAGATGGAAGATACAAACAGGCAGGGCTTTCCCCCAGCCTGGTCCCCCTCAGGGGCTGGCAGAGCACATTACAAGGAAGGTCTGTAGCAGCCTGGGCACGCTTTATCCTCTCATCCAAGCTGCAATAGGCAGGAGTCTGGCAGCTGTGCAAGGTGTAAAGTTCTGCTGTTCTTAGCAGCACTATGTAAAAGTCTGGGCAGGGGATGGGGAGGAGTGGACAGCAGAACAGCAAGTCTAAGCCTCCCACCCCATGCTTTCTATTACCTGAGCAAATGATCCTACCTTCATCATCCATACCTTGGACAAGGCGCCCAAAGGAAAAATACAGGACAAGGTCTGCAACACAGACACACAAGCAGGTTTTCAAAAAGCCTGGCTCCTGGAGTCCTGCTGAATGGACAGGACACATGCTGCCAGTGCAGTTACCCTAAACTGGTCCTGTCAGGACCTGTTTCATCAGCCTTTACACTCAGCTGGTGCTTTTCTATAGCAGAGAACACCAACCAAATGTGGAAACTGAGTCTCAGTGGCACACAAGGCTGGACTTAGAGGGCATCTCATCACAACCTCATTTTGCACCAGCATCCTCATTGAGCCCTGCTGTCCTCACATGAGTCATCACATGATAAGGCTCAGCCAGATAATCTCTCTGCATGAGGGGAAGACAGATATTTGCCTAAGACCTTTGTCTTGAGTACAAGAGCAAGAAACTTAGTTGGGTAAAAATGGTGGAGAGAGGAGCAGAGGGAGCTTTGTAGCCTGCCTAACATTGGAGCCTGACTGGATCTTCTCCTGCAATGTACAGTGAACCATACATACCCCTAAGTTTCTGCTTCTCCCCCAAGACTGTGCAAAGGCCTCATTGTCAGCCAGGGTTTGCTGCCCAGCAGGGCAGTGACAAGCAGTGCAAGTGCCCAGCAGGACAATCAGAGCAGTGAGGACAGCTCGTCTAGCCTGGCCTGAGAGCCCAGGATCACAGGGAAGTAGCAGCCTCTTCCACCCTGAGCCTACTCAAAGAGTAGATGGCCGCTTAATCACCTACCCATGGGAAAGAGGAGACTTGCTCTCTGGAAACAGAGGGGCTAGGCAGCCGCAGGCAGATGAGTGACTTACTGCACACTCCTGGGGTGATAGATCGAGGCTAATTGTAGGCAGGTGACAAAGCAGACTAAGAGAAAATGAGTGGGGGACATTCACTCCCTGGCAGCTGCTGCCCAGCTCTGCCCCCTTTCTTTTACTGCTCCTTTCAGGCCACTTGAATGGTACAAACACAGTGCTTTCCAAGACCTGCCGAGACTCCCTCGAAAAGCTCCTGCCCCCTCCCTTCTTTCTCCCTTTCAGGGCTCCTGTTCTCTCCCTTCCTACTTCCTCTCTTGTTGCCTGCTGTCATTCCTGTGTCTGGGACAGGAGGTCCGCAGTCAGGGGTGGGGGGAGGAGAGCCACATGGCCATCCATAGGCTCATGCCATCGAGCTGCCCTTCTGATGCCATAGCATAGGGCTCTGAGGATATTTTTCCATCCCTGTGAGACCCATGTGTCTTCTCCAGGTTGTGCTCCCAGCCCTGAAGCAGATGTCTCACCTCAGCAGAAGATGCAGTACCATGTTCTGAATATGGATATCTTCAACATCCCACTTAAGGAGACACCATGTTAAGCATCCCTGGTGTAGCTCTGATTTGGACCACAATGAAAGGAAAAAGCCACTTGGATCTCAGGTCACAGTAGGGCTAACTTGAAAACACTGGCTGTGAGGGGAGGATATAAAGGATCAAGCTGAGGAAATGAGCTTTGCCCAGCACATGCTGAAAGGCTAGGAGCCAGCAGGTGCTCACCAGTCCCTGCTGGACCCTACATGCATTACTCAGGCTGCCTGACCTTATCTCACACTTCTGTTAGCTTTTTCCTCCTTGCTCCACCATGTGCCCTGGTGAGATAGAAAAACAGATATTAATGGGTACACACCAGCAGCAGAGCTTTCCAGAAACTCCTCTGGGAAAAGCCAGATTAGGATTTATTACAAACTGGATGAAAGCATTCCACTGGTAGGACAGAGACTCTTACAAGACTCTTACAAGACTCTTACAAGAGACTAATAATAACATGCAGGATAGTGTCGAGCAAGGTCCCTGGCTCAGCTGAGCCTACTCTAAGAGTCCAGTGCTCCTGTGTGGTCTGGAGTCCTGGATACATTTAGGATTGGATCTTTGAAGAGGCTGGGTAGGTCAATCTGGGCAGACGCTTCCTACCCAGCCCACTCCAGGCTGCTTTCATGGGGGGTGTTCTCAATTCCTCTGTACTGTGTTTGAAGACAATATTTGGCGATTCTCCACTTCTCACTTCCCCTTGCTCACACTTGCCTGCTTCTTCACAGCTTGTCAGAAAATTATACCGACTCTGGAAAAGCAGTTTAAAATCAATTCTTAGCAGGCAGCTGAAAAGTAGTAAAGTATATGTTATGCAAAAGAACTAAAATTAACTCTTTCCTTCACTCTAGAGGGTCTGCTTCACTCTACGCACCCACCACCCACTCTAAGCCACTGATCATTTGGACTCACACCAACAGTCTGACAGCAGTTAGTTGGAGAGAAGCAGCTGGCAACCATCAGCTACTTGTAACCATGCATTAACTGCATTTATCACAGGCTTGGAAATTATGAGTATTTGCCTGTAAATACACCATTTCCATTTCACTCAGCCACATATACCCATAAGTTAAAAACCCATATCTAAGTACGTCCCTCAGGTCCCTTTATACACCTCTTTTAAGGATCTGGCTTGGGTTGTGCTGTATCACCCTGTGGAGGGCTATATTCCTCACTGCTGACTTACAGAAGTCTGTGATGAACACCCAAATTGACACCAAATTGTCTCATGGAAAAGCAAGCACTCTTTGCATGATGGGGGTTTTCCTCAAGTCCTTCCCAACAAGATTTCAACTTTTAGCAGCTGCTTGCTAGGAGCTGGGTATGGACATGTTCCTGGGAGATAAGACATGCATCCAGGTTTAATTCAACATATTGAGCCCTAGGGTATACCACTAGATACTGACCTCCAACTAGACTTGTTTTCACTAGTCATGACTCATGGGGCTGGCCATTTAGTCAGTTTTCAATCCACTTCACTGTCTGCTCGTTGAGCGTGTACATCCACAGCTTGACTATATGAACCTTTTGAGAAAAAAGAGCCACAGGTCTTGCTGAAGTCCAGACAAAGTCCACTTCTCTCCACACATCTACTAGGCCAGTCTTTCATCATTAAAGTTAATAATGTCGATCAAGCATGACTTCATCTTGGTGACTACTCCCAGTGATTTTCTTGTCTATCATGTGCCTGATATGTGCCCTTTATAACCTCAGGGTTTTTCATGTTATCTTGGTCTAAAAGACAGGTGTCTGCCAAGGAAGGTGGGAACCTCTCCTGGAATGGAAAATATGACCCCTTTCCCTTTGAATTATTATAGCTTTGAAATTACACAGCTTTCAGGCAAAGATATGGAATAACAGTAATAACAGTTCTTTCCTAGTATATATATGGTGTAGTATAATAAGGCAAACAAACAACGATGGCAGCAACACCAAAGGAAACCAGACCCAAGCACAGCCCTCCTGTCGGCCACAGGCGCCTTCCCCTTTGGTGCAGTTGCAGTCACAGCCACCAGGGGCGCCGCTGGCTCCTGGCCGGGCAGGGCGGGTGCGACGATTCCCCCGCGGCTGAAGGGGGCGCTGTGGCTCAAGATCAACCGCTCTCTGCGCAGTAATGGCGGGCAGGCTGGCCAGAGGAAGAGAGAAGGCGTTTTCCTTTGCAAACTGGAGGGAAGCAGCTGGTCTCAGTATCCCTCGGAAATGGACTGCAGCAGGAAACCTCAGAAGCAGCAAGCTGGAGCAGAGGTGAGCACACCGGGGTGACAAATGAAGGGCGGTGCCAGAAGCCTGGGGTGTCCGGTTGTCGGGTTACACTGCAGCAAGAAGCCCAGGAGCTGCTGCAGAGAACAGTGGGGCTGAGCAGGAACTGGACCCCTGGGTAGCCTCTGGGCTGACGCTGGGTCGAGCTGCACCGAGAGGGCAGTCCCCAGCCAGGAACGGTGTGCTCTTGGGACCCGGTGCTGGCATGCACTGGCTTGGAGATCCCAAGCAGCAGAGAAGCTAAGAAGCAAGCTAGTAAGTTCTAATCACAGTGCCGAAGGAAAGGAACAAAAAAGCAGGCAAAAAACACACGGCAACAAGTCTCTCCCATCAGAGAGATTGCACCATGTGGCCATGGAGAGGACTCACCTCATCAGAAGGAAGCAAATACCCCTCGACACACCCATACCTCTTGCAGAAAATCCCAGGCTGGCTCCCACCCATTGCAACACTCCCAGAGCCAGGGTCAGGGAGGATGGTGGGGGCAGCAACCACCCTGGACACAAAACAAAACCAAAAATGGGTATGGGATAAAAAACAATCCCCAAGATGCATGTCTTTTGCAAACAGATTGGCCAATGTTGACCAATGTTGACCACATTACATGTTTTTCCTTCTATTACCTACATACTTACAAAAGTCCATCCTGTTGTTTTTAAATTCTCAACCAGATTCAATTTCACTTGGGCTTTGGTGTTTCTAACTTCAGTCCTGGATGCTTTGACAATGTTTGTGTATTTGTCCCAGTTATCCAACCCCACATCTGCCCTCTGTATGCTTCTTTTCCATGTTTTAATTTGGCTAGGATTTCTTTATTCACCTGCGTGGACTTCTTGGCATATTTGCCTGACTTAGTTGGAATGGAAGTCTTTTGAGCTTATGAAAGGAACTCAAAGAATCTTGTCCATCAGAAATATTCCTTAGTCAGTCCCGGTGTCTCAGGAGAATTTTCTTCCAAAGCTGGATGGGATTGGATTAAGCAAAGACAAGATTTAAGCCTGCCCAGAGTAACATGGTTGCAGGTAAGAATACATCCCTGTGATAAATATAGGGCAATAGGAGCTGTGTCATCTTCTTCTGCAACCCAATCTCTTTCAGCAGAAAGCCTTGCACATAGAGGTGTCTCTGTACACCCCTCAAATGTTTCACAGGCATCTGCAGTACAAGATGGGAAGACATTTCTGTGGTCAAAAGTGATTGCTGCGAGACTCTTGTCGCAATCAGTCTCTTTCAAGGGTGAAAGAACTAAATGCAAGATTAAATGGATGAGCTTGTAGGTGAAGGCTGCCCAGGTTTGTGCAATTGACTTGGAGTACTTTCAATAATCTTGGCACAATTAAGCTTATGGCAGATGTATGACCTTGTCAGCCTACCTGCAAAGTTCTCAAGAGACAACAAGATATCATGTCTTAAAATAATTTTCAGAGTCCATCATGGAACCTCTGATTTGGGTATCTGTAGATCATGCAGCATTGTCACCTGTGCACATACTTGTCTGCCCAGGTGTCTGAGGGCTTACCAGGAACCACGTGAGAGTTATTCCAATGCAGAACCCCAGTGTATGCTCAGACAGTTTGAAGATGCTGAAGTCTCATCAACAGTTAATAGCAAATCAGCTTTTCGGAGATATCAATCTTCTTGGAAGGACCTGATCTCCCTCTTGCTAAAATTTATTTAGTGAGAGATTTGCTCACCACCTTCCATATCCAAGACAAGGTTGTTCCAGAATTTGATTGTGATGAAACAGGAGAGCAATGCCTTTCTTCTGAGTATACTGTGCATATCATGATGGAGACTGATGGACCAGCATTGCCTCTGAAGCAGTTGAAGTTCCTACCAGCACAGAAACCTAATTAAAAGTGACCAGGAGATGGCTTTACCCACATCACTTCCAGCTCTCTTTGCCCAGAGAAATGGGTTCAATAAGGCAGAGGTCCACCTGAAGGTGTTTGACAGTCCAAGCATTAATGCATGCCTTTACATCACCTGTGTTTAGCTTCAGCCCAAGCAGATGCCTCCATACTCCTATTCCAGTAAGGCCTCAGCAGCTTTGCCATGCATCCCACACAGCTGCAGTCCCCACTTGGAAAGTCCTTATCACTGTGTGATAGACCACAGTGTCCCTGAGACAGTGCTATGTCCCCAGGGTTGCGTGGGAGGCTCTCCAATTCCAGCAGCTACTTGCTGGCCCAAGACACTGCTGCTTGAGCTCACACTGGGCACATGAGATGTTTATCATCTGCCCTCACCCTGGGAAGACAAACCAGGCAGTCTGAGCACTGGTGTTGTTGAGGCTGGTGCCATCAGCCTTGTCCCATGCTGGCTTGTAATATCCAAGAGAGGGGAGGGGAAGAGAGACATTTGAACACCCGTGTCCTCTGTACCAAGCCCTGAGCACTCCGTAGGCACTGCCTGGGCCAGAGAAGACTTGAATTGCAACGTCATGCACTTAACTAAACCTCTGCAATTTCCAGGGCAGCAGGACAACTCTTCCCCAAGGGGACATCTGCCTCCCTCGCTCACCCCAAGACATCTGCTCACCCAGGCAGACCCATGGTTGCCACATTTAACCACCATCCTGTTACGGAAATTCAGTGGGTTTCCCATGGTCTAGTCCCTGCAGAAAATATGGACAGACAGAGCCCTGTTCCTTGGCTCCCCTCTCTCATCCCACCTAGTCCTTCTTACATCCATGCCAGTCAGCTGCACACCCCACCAGAACTCTTTGCAGGGATCTTTCTGCCTGGACTGCAGATGCAGGGTGAAGCCTCTGTAGCAGAAATGTACTCCCCCAGCACAGCTATACCTGCCAGGATAAACATCCTGGGACAGAGCATCCTTTCACCTCCAGGGATGGAAAGTGCCATGCATCAGGAAAAGATCCTGCCTCCAAATATTTGCTTGCTTTCTGTGATGTCCTGTGACTATCTACACAACTGTAGATGGCCAAACATCATCCCTCCTACTGCCACAGTGCTGCAATCTCTAGTCCTGGGAGATGGCTGTGATCTGACCCCTCTCCTTCAATAGCTCATTTCCTTATTTAACTACCTTCATTACTGCCTGAGATTGTAGGGATAGAGAAAAAGTCCTTACAGGGAGCTCAAGCACCTTAGGCATCACCCCCCTGGCTGGCTGTGCTCCCCACAGCCTCATGCTGGGGTCACAGCAGCAGCTGCAACCAGCCCAGCCAGCCCCAGGCCTGCAAGAGCATCCAGTTCCTGCCAGCACCCAACACCACTGGGTGGGTGTTTGTCTGCCTTCCTCCTTTGAAAGGAGTTTGCATAGGAGCAGTCAGGCCAGCAACCCTCTGCAGTGTGGTTCTGGTATATTACCCAGCGTGAAAGCATACAGCTGTCCAGCATTGTCCAGCAGCTGTTCCCTCATCTCCCAGCACTTGCTAGGCAGCGACACTGGAGCATAATGGGGTCACTCAGTCATGGAGATTGTGGGGCTCTGTCAACTAAACACTGGGATTCAGAGCTGGAGATGTGCTTCCTCGCCAGGTCTGTTCCCACTTTCACCTGCACCACCTGAGTGCTTCCCAGCAGTGCAATAGGGGACATGGTAGAAACCCATCCCCATGTGCTGTTCCCACCCTGCTACCCTGTTCAGGTCCTGGGAAGGACAGCCACAAGCCTCGCAGCCCAGCTGGCTCCCCACCATAACCTCAAAAGCATTCCAAACCCCCCGGGTGAGGAGGCAACAACAGTGTCCATGCTCAGCATCTGCTCCCGCTTGCAGGGACAAGGAGATGGGTCACTGGGACCCATCTGTGTGTGTGGCAGTGCTGCAGCCACTTTGTGTGGGGTTGGCAGCACAGTAGCAAAAGTAGCTGTGCGGGGGGTCTGGATCAGGCTGGATCAGGCTGGAGAAGGAGGTACAGTGCATTTCCCAGACCAATACTGCCAACAGATCTGCTGTTGAGGTCCAGCCAAAACCTAAAGCCTCCTTTCCCAGCTGGGAGCTGCACACCCCATCCCCTGACACCCAGATGCAGCTGCCTCTCCTGACAGTGAAGGGTGCTCTCTGAAACCCTGGCTGGTGCAGTGCTGCTGGAGGATGATGACCCAAGGGCTCAGAACCCTCAGCCAGCTTTCACAGTGCCATGTGTGTACCCACATGTACCTCATCTGACACAGGGCTGGGAGTGCCTTGATGGAGGGAGTCTCTACAAGCCATCTTTAGGATAGGATCTTGTCCTCCCAGGAGGTTTTTCAGCTGGAAGGAAATGTCCTTAGTGGGCAATTCCTTCCAAATCTCTTATTATTCCTGGAAGCCAGATGTTCCCCTGCAGCTCCTGAAAAGACAGGAAGTGCATGTCTCTCCCAGTTTTTCTCTCCCACCAGTTCAACCTCTTTCTCCCTTTCTTCCCTCATAACACATCCCTGTGATGATGGGGGGTGAGGAGCAAGGAGACTGTGAAGGTGAGGGACTAGGTTTCCCATAGAGAAGGCACAGTGTGGTGGGCCACACTGGGAAGAGGAAAGGGATGCAGGGCATAGGGGAAGGACAGAAAGCAAGAGAGGAGGAGTAAGGGACAGGAGAAGGATGCATTTTAAAATTCATACTCCACTAACCCCCTAACTAGAGTCACCTTGGCCTGTATAGGACAGACAGCTGGAGGTTCGCAAGCACTTTCTCTTCCTCCAGACAGGGGACAGCAGGAGGGAGGCAGGCTGGGGGCCCTGGCTGTCTGAAGCCCCAGCTGCCCCACACTTCTCCCACCCCATCAATCCTGGAAGCATCCCACATGCAGCTGTGCCCCTGTCACATTTGTTCTGGGGCAAGGTCTGCAAGCCTCCAGCCCCCTCAACTCAGTTTTTCACTAGTGTGGGTCAGGAACACATACCACAGAGCACGATCAGGCCCACACCCTGCTCTCCCCTGGCTCTACTGGATCAAGGTCCTATTGTTTTGGACAGGCTGAGTTGCTGCATCACCCAAGCCATGGGGTGAGGGGATGGGAAATGAGGGTGCATATA